CTGCCCTCAGGGACTGGACGCTCGCTCGCTGGCTGTTCCTCTGGCGGCAAAGGCTACGGGGAAGCCGAGGGGGTGGGAGGCCCCTGTGCTGTTCTCTGGGGTGCCGTTGGTCGCCCGGTGGAGGTAAAGGGTCTCGGGGGGTGGCGTTGTTATTGCTGCTCTGCAAAGCAGTCGCCCGCTCTTCTGCCCAGAGTTACCGAGAGCCCCCGAAAGGTGTTGGCGTTTTGTGCCGGTAGCCTCCGGGCGCTCAGCCTCTTCTAGTGAATCTGCTGCTAGTGAAAGCAACCCCACACCCCTGCCCCGGAGCTGCAGCAAGTGGCCTTTTTGTTTCTACGAGTCTGCTCAGGACGGAAAAGCATGAATACCGGCTATGTTTTCTCCTTACAGGTACCGAGATGACTTGCGAAATCCCCATCCCTCATGGAGTGCCAGAGGGTGACTGTGAGGAAGTTTCCAATTGCTACGAACTATGTGAAACAATTGGGACAGGTGGGATTCTGTCTAACGCTTTAGTATTTATCTGAGTACAGATCAACTGTCGCTGCAGGTCATGTTTCAAGTGTACGTTTTGGGTGGCAGATCTCTGAAAATGTTACTGGAAGCGGGTAGCAGTGATCACTTCTAACTGTAACAAACACTCTACACAGTGTGCATGCTACATACTCCAGTGTAACCGTGAGACTATAGGCAAAAACGCATGTCATCACGCTGAGCTTTAAATGTCTTGGTTTTGTTTTTTTTAATTCTAGGTGGATTTGCAAAGGTAAAACTTGCGCGACATATCCTCACTGGTGAAAAAGTTGCAATAAAAATCATGGACAAGCTGGCTCTAGGGGTAAGCCAAAAGATACTTAAAAGCTGGCACATGTTCTGCTGTTCTTGTGGAGCCCTGACCAGTTGGAATACTGACTGTTGAGGGATGCTGTAGACTTGGAAGAATTTTAACAAAAGACCACAAATCTTCTGCCCTCTTGTGAAGAGGGCAACATTCACTGGTAGTAAAATTCAGGAAGTTGAAGGTTATTACAGTAATTCAAACAGAATGGTGTTGAGATTATTACCTACTTTACATCCACCCCTTTGGGTTTTGCAGATCAATTTGCCAAAATTGTAGGGGACTGATGGCAGAGCTTGTTGCTGGGTGGAGTTTGAGCAGTTGAATTGTACACTGCCATACATGTGCTGTGAAATATTGTGTTGCACAACAGTCTGATGCTCACTGTGATGTACAGGCTGTCAAAGTAGCCAGCAATTTCACAGCTTGCTGTTGTGGTTTCTTAGGATGACTTGCATCGTGTTAAAGTAGAAATCAATGCCATGAAGAGCCTCAGTCACCAGCACATTTGCCGGTTGTATCATGTGATAGAGACATCCAAGAAAATATTCATGGTCTTAGAGGTAAGAAATGGTGTTCCTGACAGTGCAAAGGTTCCTGGTTTTAGCTGTAGTGGTAGATAAAAGTTGAAATGAAGGAATTCTTAAAAAGTTATCTTAATGATGAGCATATTCAAGATGCTTCAGTTTAAATATTAGGCTGGTGATATGCTCTAGCATAAAGCTGCTCTTCACATTTGCAGTAAGTGAAGTAACACTATTTCCTATCTTGTGCTTCAGCTATTTTAAAATAAGTGGGACATGTGGGACCCTGGAGCTCGCCGGTGGTTGTCACAGCCTGGGCAATTTGTATCCCCTGTGATGTTAGTGCGCTGAACCGCTGGCCTGGGGGCACTGGGGTAATGCTGTGGTAGAGCAGAGGGAATGGAAGAGTGTCCTCCAGTTGTCCAGTGCTCTTGTTGTTCTTTAGACTACATTATTCTAAATGCATTCTCTTTTCCTTGTCTTCATGCAGTACTGTCCTGGAGGAGAGCTCTTTGACTACATAATTTCTAAGGACCGCCTTTCAGAAGAGGAAGCTCGCATATTTTTTCGGCAGATTGTGTCAGCGATTGCTTATGTCCACAAGCAGGGGTATGCCCACAGGGATCTCAAACCGGTAAGCCTGAATAGAGTCAGATTTGTGTAAATAATAACAAACACCCACTTTTATTTCCCTGTTAGGAGCCGGGGTAAGCTATGCCTTCTCCCTTCTCTCGTGCTTAGAGCTCTTTATATAACATAGTCTGAAAGAGCATTATTTCTTCTTGCTGTGGCGTCCTCAGCTGGGCTGGGTGTGGTTATACCCGAGGAAGGAGCTTCCTCTGAAAGAGAGCACCACTCTCCAGCTGGGAGTGGAGCAAAGTCACGGAGCTGGCTTTGAATGTTGCGTAGACGTTCTTGTCGTCCCCTTTATTCCACTTGGTACCTGGAAAGGGTCTTTATGGTGCCACTCTGTTGTGCAAAGTATTTTCATGCCCAAAGGAAAAAGTGACACTGACAGTTTAAGTGGTGGCCAGACAAGGAATGTAAGAGGAGATGATTGCTACTGGACCTGTCCCGTGGCTCTGCTGTCATAGGTTTAAGGAATGGAATACTTGAGTCTATTTCTCCTTGAAGGGGTTAGAAATTTGCAATTTTAGAGATGTTAATATCTCTGAGAAATGCAAACTCTTAGTGCACAAGGGTTTTTCTAGACAGCTCATGAAATCTTTGTCTCTAAAGTACTTCTTCCCAAACGAAGGGTTGTATGTACCCTTTGGAAGGAGTTGGCTTGTAGCTGGAGAGCTCATGGATTCATAGATGGGAAGTGACTTCCAGAGGCTTCTGCTTGAGCCTCTTGCTCAAAGCAGTGTCAGACCAAGCTTCTTGGGGCTTTATCCACCCACATTTTCAACCTCTCCTGAGGATGAGGCAGTGGAATCCCTCGAGGCAGCCCGTTCAGCTCTTCACTGTCTTTATGAGGAAAAAGGCTTTTCCTTATTTCCAGACTGAAGGTCTCCTGATGCCTGTCACTATCCCACCACGCTCTAGTTCTGCCTTCATGCCCTCCTTATAGGTATTAAAGGCTGCTATGAGGTCTCCACTAAAGCTTTCTTGCCTGCAGGCTGAACAAATGTCTTTTCCCCCAACCCCTCCCTCCTGAGCAGACTGAGCTGACTTTTTTGACTTTCTGTGCTGGGGAGCAGGAACTGGACACACTATTCTAGCTGTGCTGAACAGAGGACTAGAGTAACTTCCCCCAGTCTATTATCTGTGCTCCTTTTAATGGTCTTTGAAGTTGCTGCTGCCTTCTCTGCCAGAGCAGGCTGCTGCCTCATGTTCAGTGTGCTCTCTATCACCCACTGCCCCCAGTCCTTTTCAGCAGATAGGAAGTAGTATTCCCCATCTGGAATTCAGGATATATACATTAACAACTGATCTGAGTAGATAAATTATAGCTGATAATGACAAGAAATAAGATAAAACAAAACATGGCTCTGTGGATCCTTAGGTTATAGAAGCATTCATTAGTGCTTTCTCTTTTTCCAGGAAAATCTACTGATTGATGAGCAACATAATTTGAAGCTGATAGACTTTGGGCTCTGTGCAAAGCCAAAGGTAAGAGCATCGGTTGCTTTCACAGAATAGGGTTAAATCAGTTACTGAAGAAGCATTAAAAAAAAAAAGCATGTTTGACTTCAGAGTGCAGTGCAGAGACTTGCCCAGAGACCCTAAATTCAAGTTGTTTGCGTAGTTCTCATCCATCACTAAGTACTTGGTAGGGCCTTAACTGTGTGAGAGGGAAGTTCCCTGCAAGTTATGTCCAGACTTAGAGATCCTTTTCTCTTCTTACACTTCATCTTTTATCATAACCCAGAGATCATCTATGTGTAGCACCTGCTGTCACATATAAAGGTCTGTAACTTAAAGCTTACGTTGGTGTGCATTTTTCCCTGATAAGTTTCAATGATGTATAACTTTTTTCAAAACATTTGTATATGTGTGGAGATGGTGGCTCAAATCAAATAGTTTATTCCACAGACAAATCCTCTGGTTCCATGTGCTTGTACTGTTTCCTGAGTTTAAAATTGGTTTCTAGGAGTCCTTCCTATTTGTCAGTTTAACATGCAAGGTGGGTGCTGTTAAGAAACCATTTAATGAGAAGGTCTTACTGATCCAAAGACTTGTTCTCGGATCGTTTTACCTGACTCAAGTTGGAGCTTCTTGCAGGCAGCCAAGACTATTAGACAATCATCTTGGTGGTATAATGTCATCGAATTCTGGTCTGCTTAGAACAAAGCCCAGGCAGAGTAAGAACATGGTTTTAATAAGAATTCTTAATTCTTAAATTATTGCCTTGAATATTGGTATAAATAACCAGCTAGCCACATGCCCAGTAGCTCTTGGATCACTTCCTCCCAAGTTCCATTTCTCTTCACAGTTGAAGGGAATTGTTCTCATCAGAGGATGAGGTGCAGAAAAGTCTGCCAGGATAATATATGGATGAGCAGCTTGGGACCTGAATGCTTATAGGATATTCACGGTCTTAGACAATTTTTTGCCTAGTGAAGCCATATATTACACCAAAGCAAAATACAAGGTGAATATAGATGCACAGCAGAGAAAAATGAAGCCTCTGAGGCCTCTAATAGGCCACTGGTAGAAGAATTAAGCTCTGTTAATGCTATTGCTTCTGTGTGATGGGTTTTCTGTCTTATTCTAGGATGGCCTTGATAACTATCTGAGAACATGCTGCGGAAGCCCAGCTTATGCAGCACCAGAGCTGATCCAGGGCAAAGCATATATTGGCTCAGAGGTACATCCCTTCCCCTGTGTATTTAAAGGTGGTGAGCTTCAGATACGCTCACTTGGTTTCTTTCAAACGGCAATTTGTTAACTATCCAACTCCTGCTGCAAATTTCCGTGCAGTCTCAGTATGCTGTGTGCTTTACCAGGCCCGTCTTTAGCTTGGAATTTGTGTATGAAAACTTGTTCTCTGTCCTGTGCAGTGTAGTAAAATTCTAGAGAAGAAAAAGCAGAGTTTATCCAGCTCTGATTCCATGTCCAGAACACCAGGACCTGCTACTTGCTGTTGTCAATGCACCCAAGCTGCTGTAACTGCAATCCTCTCAACGTTCTTAAATTGCTGTGCTGTTGGATGGAGTCAGTCTTTTTCCCTTTTACAGACTTTTGCACCCCTGTCCTTGGCCTCTAACTCCTGATTTATTTTTTTTATTTGGTGTGCTTTGTTCTCCATGAAGTCCAGTGCTTTTCAAGCCTTATTTTTCCTTATGTTCTAAGTGGGAATCTCAGTGTGAAGCGGTACGAGGCATGTGGGGGCCTTGTCATGCCTATAGAGAGGAGAAGCAGTGGGGCTTTAAAGTTGATTGTAGCTGTGCTGACAGCTGTTGTAATCAGTAATATGTTACCATACAAAATCCCTTGTGATGAGTTTGATTTCATTTTTGCCAGTGAAATCCTTGTAGATTGAAGGTAATGCAGCAATTTGGTGACCTAAGGAGAGGGTATTGGTTTTACTAGTGCTCTAGCTTGAGTGAATTGAAAATTGAATTTGTGTTGTGTGCTTTCACCTGGAATATAAGAGTTCTGTCAAGAATTAAGGAGCCTACTCGTCATGAGTTGTAAGTGGGCTTTGCCAAAGGGGGACAATATTACCCATCTCTAAGGTAGAGTTTTAGATAGATTGGCTTCATGAACTTCCACTCCTATTTTTTAGGCAGATATCTGGAGCATGGGAGTGCTGCTGTACACTCTGCTGTGTGGCTTTCTCCCCTTTGATGATGAAAATGTCATGACTCTCTACAGGAAGATAATGGTAGGTATTGATGGTGCTAGAATACACTGGGAACAGGCATTGCCAAGCATCATGAGGCCTTTGCTTTTCTGGTGGCAGAACCTCTGTGCCTAGGGTAAAAAGACATATCTGCTTAATTTTGTTACTTTCTAGTTTTTCTATCAGTATTTTGTGGATTGTTTCCATCTCCAATCTGCCTTTGCAGTGTTCTGGCTTGGTCCTACAATACAACAGGAACCTGAGGTTCAGGAGAAGTGTTTTCTTGCTGGTGGGCTGGATTTTTGTATCTGAGTCTATCTGGCTTCTCCCTGTATTGTATGGAATAGAATTTCAAATGTGTAATTTGATTTACCAAAAATAATGTTCTTAAATGTCAGCTATTCTCACGTCTAGGAAAAACAGGATTCTGCATCTGCTGTTAGACTTTCCTCCTCCAAAATGAGGAAGAAATGTCAGACACCATAATCAACAGGAAAAGTTGAATACAGAGGGATAGAACTCACTAGTTGGTTCTGTCTCGCTGTAAAACCCTCCTGATGCAGCTAAACATACACATACCTCTACCAACCACTTCTAAGCCGACATAAAATTGATGCTGGTAAAGCTTCCCGTGAGTGGGGTGGGCAGTAGCTGTGTTAGATAAGGGCTTTGATTCCTCTACCTCTTTCTCCTCTCACCCAGAGTCTGATATGTCTGAAAAAAAAAAACCCAAACCCTAGAAAACTTCTTGAGGGTGTACAAGGACTGTGGTAGGAGGCAACTGACAGCTGATCTACACAGGGAGTGTTTTTGGGGTGCATAACAATCAGAGCTGATGCAAAGGATAGGATAAGTAAACAACTTGGCTTTATAGTCTAGAATTGGAGTGGACTTGAGAACCTTGACAGGAGATCTGTAGGAAGCTCAATTTGTGTTGTTGTAAAGAACTTAAAAAAAAAAAAGGGCGGGGGGGCGG